ATGGAGCAGTGCTGGGGCTGCTGGGCTCACATGGGACATGGAGCAGTGCTGGGGCTGCTGGGCTCTTGAGGGAAATGGAGCAGTGCTGGGGCTGCGGAGCTCACATGGGAAATGGAGCAGTGCTGGGGCTGCTGGGCTCCCAGGGGAAATGGAGCAGTGCTGGAGCTGCTGGGCTCCCAGGGGAAATGGAGCAGTGCTGGGGCTGCTGGGCTCCCAGGGGAAATGGAGCAGTGCTGGAGCTGCTGGGCTCCCAGGGGAAATGGAGCAGTGCTGGAGCTGCTGGGCTCTTGAGGGAAATGGAGCAGTGCTGGGGCTGCTGGGTTCTTGAGGGAAATGGAGCAATGCTGGGGCTGCTGGGCTCCCATGGGGAATGGAGCAGTGCTGGAGCTGCTGGGCTCACATGGGACATGGAGCAGTGCTGGGGCTGCTGGGCTCTTGAGGGAAGGGGAGCAGTGCTGGGGCTGCTGGGCTCTTGAGGGAAATGGAGCAGTGCTGGGGCTGCTGGGCTCCCATGGGAAATGGAGCAGTGCTGGAGCTGCTGGGCTCTTGAGGGAAATGGAGCAATGCTGGGGCTGCTGGGCTCTCGAGGGAAGGGGAACAGTGCTGGAGCTGCTGGGCTCCTGAGGGAAGGGGAACAGTGCTGGAGCTGCTGGGATCCCACAAGGAATGGAGCAGTGCTGGATGCACCAGGTTCCCAGGGGAAATGGAGCAGTGCTGGGCTCCCAGGGGAAATGGAGGAGTCCTGGAGCGCCTGAGAGAAGGGGAACAGAGCTGGATCCACTGGGTTCCCAGGGAAAGGGAACAGTGCTGGGTTCCCAAGAGAAATGGAGCAGTGCTGGATCCCAGGGTTCCCAAGGAAAATGGAACAATGCTGGATCCTGGTGTTCCCAAGGGAAATGGAACAGAGCTGGATCTGCTGGGCTCTCAGGGAAATGGAACAGAGCTGGATCCGCTGGGCTCTCAGGGAAATGGAACAGTGCTGGGTTCCCAGGGAAATGGAGCAGTGCTGGATCCCAGGGTTCCCAGGGGAAATGGAACAGTGCTGGATCCTGGGATTTCCAAGGAAAATGGAGCAGTGCTGGATCTG